ACAACACCAGCCCCTGTTAAACTATTAGCCACAGATACATTGTTCAACCTGCTGGCATGCTCTTCCCCGGGCTACAACAATCACACATGGCAGTCTTGATAAATACGTGGAAGAATATGGTTTGGAGTTTGTGAATTTATTATGCCTTTGGTAAGGATTTCTGGGATTTTTTAATGTTTTATTTATATAAGTTAAACAAATTTCATGTATTTCATATACACAGATTTAGGAGCATAGTGGTACTTCTCACCCTTCCTCTTCTTTCCTTTCTTATTCTTTCTTTTCGGTAAGGATTTACAATGCCTTTCTAAGACAGGTGGCTTTGTTTCTTGACCTTTCAGTGTGTGCAGGTGTACTTGAGTCCCTCCTTCTCTATTTTCTCACCTTGACTCGCTGCTGCTGTGTTAGGAGCAGGTTACTAAAGAGCCCAGAGGCTGGATGACAGGCAAGCACCCAGGAAACTGAAAACTGGGCAAACACATTCTCCCGTAAGGCAGCAAACATCACAGCCAAACGCTGACCTGGTCATAGAAATAAGTAACACGTAAAAACCATTTTGTAAAATACAATGGCTTCAACGATATATAGATATCTCATTGATATATATACATATATGTATATTTCAGCATTACTCATTTCTTTATTTTGGTCAGTGGGATGGAGACAATGTGGCAATTAGGATGGAAATTTGCACTTAAACATATATTTGGGTATTGGATCTCAGCAGTAGAATGCATTACATATTTAACAGGTTGTTTTTTTCCTTTTACAATTTACTATATCCTCTCTATAGTGTATTAAGAGATCTTTTTACACACTACAACTTCTTTAAAAAAATTTTTGTTATTTATTTATGTATTTATTTGAGAGACAAAGAGAGAAAGAGAAAGGCTCCCATCCACTGGTTCGCTCTCTAAATGCCCTCAACCCCTAACGGGCTGGGGCTGAAGCCAGCAGCCAGGAACTCAATCCCCGTCTTTCATGTGGGTGGCATGAGCTCAATTACTTCAGCCATCATTCCTGCCTCCCACATTGTGTGGACTTCCAGGACCCACATTAGCAGGGAGCTGGAATCGGGAGTTAGAACCAGGTGCTGAATCCAGTTAACTCGCCAGCCTCCACGTGGTGTATTGCTCCTTTTTTAGAAAGTGTTTTTAAATCTTTATTTATGAGGGAGAGTAGAGAGCGCACCCGTGAGCTGGATCACTCTCCAGTTTACCCACAACAGCCAAGCTGACCCAGGGTCAAATCTGGCAGCTAGAAATACAATCCAGGTCTCCCAAATGGGTGGCAGAAATCCAATTACTTGAGCCATCACCCCTGCCTCCCAGGGTCTGCATTAGCAGCAATCTGGAATCCAGTGGCCAGAGCCAGGAAGCAAACCCAGGCATTCTCATGTGGGACACAGTCACCCTAAATGCCATGGTTAAATACTCCTTATAATCTTTTTATTTAAGATTTATTTATTTATTTGAAAGTCAGAGTCACACACACACACACAAAGAGAGAGAGAGAGAGAGAGTCATCTTCCATCTACTGGTTCACTCCCCAGTTGGCCGCAACATCTGGAACTGTGCCAATCCGAATCCACAGCGCTGGCCCCAATCTGTTCTTTTTTGTAAATTTAATTTGGTATAGCTCTTAATGCCTATGATTAAGAAAATCTTCATATATTCACTAAGTAACATTTTCCCCAAAGAAATCTTTTATTTAAGGAATATACACCATGCATTTCATAAGTACAGCTTTAGGAATATAGTGATTCTCCCCCCATACCTGCCCTCCAACCCACACTCCCACCCCTCCTCCTCCTCCATCTCCCACTCCCAGTCCCATTCTTCATTAAGATTCATTTTCAATTAACTTTATACACAAAAGATCAACTCTATACTAAGTAAAGAGTTCAACAATTTGCATGGAAAAAAAAGTATTCCTCAACAGTTGAGACAAGGGCTGTTCTAAGTAACGTTTTGTTCCCAAGTCTACAAAAACTAGCACAGCTCCCTGCACATAGCAGGCGTTCAACAAAATACTTCATTTCTTTTCCTTTTCCATGTCCTAATATTATTCAGTGCAATGAGGCTCTTATAAGAAAAACAAGACTGCAACATTCACACAATAAACCTTTTTATTTAACCTTGAGAAAGAAAAGGCATAAAAGTCTGTAAAGAATTTTTATAAACAGCAAGTAGTCAGATCACAGGTTATTTTAAAAATGTCTTTCAACTATAACTAACTTCGAGTGTAATGCTAAATGAAGACATAACTATCAGTTGCACTCCAAATATTACTTGGAATAAAACATCATACAGTGTATTATAGATCATGACATTTTGGCATGTACAATTTCATACAGCAGAAAAGTAACATTTTTATCAGAACAAAAAAAAGTTATATGAGTCTTAGTACCAACAACAATGAGAAGCTATGATAATTGCCATATAATTTTAATAATGTAATTTTAATCACACAGTGTAGATCAATGTTTTGTCAGCATAATTTTCTGTAATATCTGTTAAATAACAGAGTTGAACTTTATAAACACATGTTTATAAATAAATTAGCTATCCAATAATTTTCTTCCTACATGTCATGTTTTGCATTACTACTCAAAATATTGGGCATATTCATGTTTAAATATTAGAAACAAAACAAATCCTAAACTCAAGTAATACTCAAGTAATACCTCTGAGTTTACCTAAGCACCATTTCTCTATAAATTCCAATATAAAATAAATATATATTTATGTAAAATATTTCTATATGTAGGAATATTTTAAATTAATCACTTGATTACAGGTTTTTATTGACAGTAAAAGATGCATTATTAAAGAAAATATCCTCAGACCTTCCTTTAAGGAATAAGATTAGTGAGGAATACAGAAGAGTAAACATACAATGAAAGTCTTCATCCAGTGTCACAACTGGAGTTCACAGGGTGACTCTCCAACGTCTGATGAGCAAACGCTTACATCCGTTTTATGCTGCATATTCACTTCTCAACATTCTACCACTTGATAAAAAGTTGTAGTCTCTGGTCAGATTTCACATAAGACTTTTCAGAAATTCGAGGTTTAAATTTTTCCCAAAAGGTAAGCAGGGACACAGAGAAAGAATAAAACAGAACAAAGCAGCAATGTATTTAGTTGTTTACTGGGGATGGGCACCAAGAAAACACTTAGCATTTATACAGATATTCTTGTTTGCCAGACAGCATGCTGGGAGCAGTCCTCACACTTTCATGCCTACTAAAGTGGTTTCAGGTGTATATTCATCTTTAATATGAAAATGGAGGCCACAGCAGTCCAGGAACGTGTCACAGGTCATAAAACCAGCAGGCAAGGTTGAACAATGACAGACCTTCCTTTACGAGATTATAAAAACCTGAAGGTAGCAGGGGTGAGAGACTCGGGGATTTAGTGGAGAGCAGGGAACATACCAGGTCTGTCATCCATCCAGGTCATGAAAGAGACTGGCTACACAAATCATTACACTGCGCTCCTAGGCCTCCTACAAATCTGTCCAGCGTCTGAAAAGTCACGTGAGAGGGAGCACCTCTGCCCTGAATTTTGGAGTATCCCCACATAGTGAAGGCAAGTGCCATGATTTTGCATGTGATTATTTCAAACCATGAAGATAGTCACGACAGAGCATCACATAAGACACTGGTGCAATTGCCATTATATTCATACGTTGAACTTCTAATTTTAGATAGTGCATGCACTCAATCATTTTTATGATGGTATCAAATTCCACAAATAAAATAATATTACACTTTGAAATCTACATCTTCAATTTATGGCTTCCCATTATAAAACTTTATCTAGAGATCACTGATGTACCTTGCCTTCATTACAGTAAACACAATTCATGTTAGTATTGCAGTTCCAGTTCAACAGCTAAATTACACCTTCACCTGAGTGAAACACCTGTTCAAGTGAATTGTTTCTCATGGGGAAATCAGCTAAATAAAAGTCACCTGAAGGAGCGGGATAAGGACTATAATTCTGTGTTTGAAAGAGACTCTAAGGTATAATTTTCAGATTTAAAAAAGCATAATTTTAGGCTGGCGCCGCGGCTCAATAGGCTAATCCTCCACCTAGCGGTGCCGGCACACCGGGTTCTAGTCCCGGTTAGGGCGCCGGATTCTGTCCCGGTTGCCCCTCTTCCAGGCCAGCTCTCTGCTGTGGCCAGGGAGTGCGGTGGAGGATGGCCCAAGTCCTTGGGCCCTGCACCCCATGGGAGACCAGGATAAGTACCTGGCTCCTGCCTTCGGATCAGCGCAGTGCGCCAGCTGCAGCACGCCAGCCGCGGCGGCCATTGGAGGGTGAACCAACGGCAAAAGGAAGACCTTTCTCTCTGTCTCTCTCTCTCACTGTCCACTCTGCCTGTCAAAAAAAAAAAAAAAAAGCATAATCTTAAAAATTATTCAATAACTTCAGGTGTATTTCCTAAAATCTGATTAATTCATGTAATGTTCCATAATTTGCATAAATGGTAAAAATCTCATTCTTGGGCTCATGTAGTGGGAAAATATGTTCTCAATTTTAAAAAAGGCTTTATGAAGGAGTGTTATTGGAAAAAACGTTGTATATAAGGGTACTTAAAATTTTGCAGAAAAATGGATTTAAAGATAAGTTTATTTTGGTATAAAATTCTGGAAATCCACGTATAGTTTTTTCATAATATGCATTTTCCATGAGTTTTTTGAAGATGTAACTGAAACTACTAACATTTTCAGAAAGAGATGTATGGGCACCAACTTCTAAGAATACAACTTTGTTGAACTTTAGCACCAACTGTATACATTAACAATTGATATCTACAGTAATTAAAAACAGGTTACTCTGTACAATCTGTTCTTCGTTTCTTCTGTAGTGCAAAAATTTAGGCTCTGCCAAAAATGGAGAAAAAAAAACAAAAACAAAAAAAGCCACTGCTGTAATGTGCGTTTACTCATAGGAAGAGGTCTCATCTTTTTAAAAACAGGAGTCTTCTTTTTAAAATGGAGACAACTCAAAGTTAGAGAAAGCCCTGAATCTGGTTAAGAAATTGAAGTAAACATAAGAGAGAGTCACCAGCACGTTTTTACAAAGGCCGAGGACAGGTGTGATTGTCCCCAGGGCAATGATCAAACTGAGCCTGACAAACACAAAGGGTAAATCCTGCAGCAGGATGCCCAGACAACTGAGAAGAGGATTTTGGGGGGTGAATATAATGCGAAGGAGAGAAATGAAACTGAATAAGTAGACTGGATACAGCCAGTTTGTCTTGTACACGTTAGGGTGACCGGCCACTCGCACCATCTCTATTGTGTCAGACCACAGCAGAAAGCTCCAGAGGAATATCTCGGCCCGGACATCTCGCCGGGACATTGTCTTCAGGATTCCGGAGCCAAAGAAAGGCTCCTGGGGCCCAGCGAACATGGGGACGGCACTGTGTGTCAGTGCCCCTGGGGGCTGCCACGTCTCAGAGGGGCTGGCTGCGCCGGGAGAGGCAGCGTTCTCTCCATTTTGCCTCACTTGTTCCGTCACAGTTCTTACTTGTTGCAAAGAGGACGTGTGGATGTGTTTATCTTCGTTACCTGCAACAGATTGATTTAGCTTAATTTTTACATGAACATACTATATAAATTATACATTATAATCATATATCAATTTTATAGTTTAATATTTATAATTTCTAAAATTTAAAAATATTATTTTGTTTTATTGAAATTTAAAATCTAAAATTTGATTTACAAATAAAATTCTAGTTCTTTTATTAGAATCCATTTTAAATATCGAAGTTCAAGGTAAGAGCATACTCGAAAAATACAGAAATGGAGAAGGAGCCTGGTGTCTTGGTGTTTTCCTAGATATGCATTCTAAGCCACGTGTACCATTTTATAGCAAGAGTCATTATTTGCTACTGAGCAAATTGCTACTTTCACACATTATCTCATTTGATCCTAAGAACAAAGCTGAGAGACAGGATTACTATTCCAATTTCCAAATATGAAAACTGGGATGCAAAAGGTTAAATAAGGCCTGAATGCAAAAACACAGTTAGCAATGGACAGAATTGGAATTCCCACCCAGATCCGTGTGACTCCAATTGACAAACTCTTAATGTGATGGTTGGTATTACCTGTCCAGAGGCAATACATCATGTGCTAATTACAAAACACAGAGCTATCATAAAGTTCACCAGTCCAGGCCTTTCATTTTATTAGATGAAGCAGAAGTGCACAATTCTCCACCATGGAGCTGGGTGCTAGGAGGGACTCTGTTTGACCACTAGAGATTCACGGGGAAGAGTAACACGCTGAATTCAAGATTTTAAAGCTGTTCTTCCCCAAAGGGTTTGAAGTGTTTAGTAGAAAGCATCTCTTCTGTGGCCATGAGACTGAGGCTGTCAGCACACCAGTAACTGAATGAGTAGGGAATCTGAGTTGTCACCATCTCGGCATGTGTGTGCCCCTCGCTGTGTACAGGTGGGTGTCACGGTTAGAATTTATGGACAGGTCCTCACATCTTAAAATCTACAGCTAATGTTGATGGCATTGTTTTCAGACATGAAAGGTGTATACCACATTCTTTTTCAAATAGCTGTCCACCTAAACACTATTTTGTTGCCAACAATTTATCAGACCTTGACAAAGTCTACTCAGTGAACATGCTGAGCTGCCACATTACTGATAGGACACAATCGCAAGGCAGTCATTAAATGGAATAGCTCTAAAGGTTAAAGATTCAACGTCAACAAGAATTTGTTGTACTGCATTGAGCTGAAAGTGAAAACATTTTAAAATAAATGTTATGATGAATGACTATTAAAATGCTTGATTACTACAAGTAGGAGGGTTTATAAAAGACACAACAACCCTCAGTTTTCTTTCACACAGCTGGAGACTTACTTTACAATTTTAAGTGTGGGTTGACTATTTTTAAAAACTAAAAAGATAATCTAAATTCTTGATGAACTTACTTCCATTATGAATCATTTATAAGCAAATGCTAAAATCCACGACCGCTATAGGCACCTTGACCAACTGTGCAAGTCACAGCAGCCTGAGTGACTATCACTTTAAAAAACAGTACTCACATAAGAGAGAAAACTATCTATTAGTTGCCTTTTATTTTTGACTACAAGAATTCATATTTTTTAACCTGAAATGGTCAGTTGCATCGCTCCTTTTAATAAGAAAAGTCAGTACAGAAAATGTTGCTTAGAGGATGTCATGTCCTAGAAAACACTCCTTCAACTCTCTTAACAGATAAAGCTGTTGGAAGGAAAATCCAAATGCCTTTGTCAGCGTTAAGAACACAGTGTATAATCTGGGCTTGTGAAAGATGAATGCAAATTCAGCATTATTTCAAAGGCAGGAAGTAGCAATCTAAGCAGTGACACATTCACATTTTTTAAACAGTCAATGAGAGTTGATATCTGAGGATAAGAGCTCTTGGTAGAAACAATGAATTTTTTGCTACAGTTTGGTTCCGATGAGATACTAAGGCCCCAATCCACATAACACTGGGTGAAAGGAGGCCTGGGAACTTCCTATCGCTCCGTAGCTTGATGGGGACTGGTTTAGATTTGGGGGTATGGAGACTCTGGTGTCCTGTTTTTCAAGTGAAGAGCACCAGAAGTACTAACAGGAAAGTTCTGTTGGCCTCCCTAAGGGCAGGGGAGGGTTGAAGCAGCCAAGAGATCTTTGGGCTTTCAAGTGAACCTGGACCCTGCCATGAGTCTCTGAGCAGTGTCAATGGTCATGTGTACGAGTTGACTCCCTTTGGCTTCAAGATTAGCATCCTCTCCAAATAAGTTCTTGAAAAAAAAAAAAATGAATTCATTTATTTGAAAGGCACAGCAACAGAGAAAGAGAGAGGAAGAGAGAGGCAGAGAGAAAGATCTTCCATCCACTAGTTCATTCCTCAAACAGCTCCAACAGCCAATTCCGGGCCAGGTCCAAGGCAAAAGCCAGGAACTTTATCCCGGTCTCCCACATGGCTGGCAGGGTCTGGCCATCCTCCTTGCTGCCTTCTCAGGAACATTAGCAAGGAGCTGGAAGGAAGTACCCCAGCTGGGACTCGAACTGGCACGCCAGTATGGGCTACCAACATGCCAGTGACAGCTTAACCCACTGCACCACAACACCAGCCACCAAATTTTGTACTTTTAAAAATTTCCACCTACAGCTGGAATTCTTTTCCTTGTCCCAGTTAGTTGAGATTTATTCAATTTGGGTACTACAATATTTATTTTTGCAAAACCCTATTAAAAATGTAAGCATAGAGTGATGCACTCACTTCCAGAGAGGTTCACATCCCTTGTAAGAAGGAAAAGTAGCAGCCATTCTATGTGGCTCCCACATCTGATGTCAGTTGCCGAAACAAGCTTTTGTCCTCACTATGCAAACTAGATAATGAAGGAAATGTAATTTCAACAACAGACTAATGTTCAATGAGGCAACTCCTACCTCTTTAACATTATTTATTGACACTGATTTATTTCTGTCACTTGTTCCCCCAATTTTTTTTGAAAAAGATTTTATTTGTCTGAAAGGCAAAATGACAGAAAAAGATCTTCTATCTACTGGTTCACTCCCCCCAAATGTTTGCAACAGCTGGGGGTGGGCCAGGCCGAAGCCCGGACCAGGGAACTCCATCCAGGTCTCCCATGTGGGTGGCAGGGGCTGAAACACTAGGGCCATCCTCTGCTGCCCTTCCAGGCACATTGGCAGGGAGCTGGATCAGAAGTTGAGCAACTGCAATTGCAGGCAGCAGCTTAACCCTCTGTACCACCACCACGCCAGCTCTTCCCCAGAAGTTTTTGGAACAGGGTGAAAAATAAGATGTGGCACATCAAATCAGCAGAGAGCAGTTTCTGAAGTGAGCATGTACTCCTTTTGCAAAGAGAATATGGAAGCCATACGTTATGAAAATAAAAGGAGAGGAGAAAAGAAAAGAGGAACCACAAGAAAAGGAATCTAAAAACAAGTCTGCAGCATGGTTAATAGATAATGATAGATAACAAAAACACACCAGGCTTCCCACTGCAGTGACAAACACACACATGAGTGCTGTACCCGCCCTCGACTAGACACCAGCAGATGGTGTAGCATATACGAGGGCACTTCCAAATGTCTGTGAGAAAATTGAATTGAAAGCTTATTTTGGTGCAAAGAAATTTTGAAGTCCATGCATAACTTTTCTATGCTAGGCATTTTCCATGAACTTTTTGAAGGCCCCTTGTGGTATGGAGAAAGGCCTCCCCTCCCTGACTGTGTCTACTGTAATCACACCAAAAAATATAGATTAATAAATGTTGGCAAGGAAAGTAAACTCAGGGCCGGTGCTGTGGCACAACAGGTAAAGCCACCGCCTGCAGTACCGGCATCCCTTATGGGCACTGGTTCGAGACTCGGCTGCTCCACTTCTGATCCAGCTCTCTGCTGATGGCCTGGGAAGGCAGTGGAAGATGTTGGGTCCCTGCACCCACGTGGGATTCCTGGAAGAAGCTCCTGGCTCCTGGCTTCGGATTGGCTCAGCTCCAGCCATTGCAGCCATCTGGGGTGTAAACCAGTGGATGGAAGACCTCTCTCTCTCTCTCTCTCTCTCTCACTCGGCCTCTGCCTCTCTGTAACTCTGCCTTTCAAATAAATCAATCAATCTTAAAAAAAAAAAAAGGAAAGGAAATTCTATGACTAGAGACTGGGACAGGGATCCAAACTAGACAGCCTAGTTCAGGAAGACTGATCTGAGAAGCGGGAAGAATAAGTAGGAATCAACTGGATGCAGAAAAAAAAAAAAAAAATCTCACCAGGCAGAACAGCATGGGTCCTTCAGCTGTCATGTGCTGAAGGAAGAAGAGCTCTGGAGAGGATGGGAGGTAGAGAGGAAAAGGAAAAAGATGGGAGTTATGTACTGTCTAGATGCGAGGCATTTTTCTAAGTCCTTTATATGGATTAACTCACTTGTGAAAACCCAATGATGGCCGGCGCCGCGGCTCACTAGGCTAATCCTCCACCTTGCGGCGCCGGCACACCGGGTTCTAGTCCCGGTTGGGGCGCCAGTTCTGTCCCGGTTGCCCCTCTTCCAGGCCAGCTCTCTGCTGTGGCCAGGGAGTGCAGTGGAGGATGGCCCAAGTGCTTGGGCCCTGCACCCCATGGGAGACCAGGAGGAGTACCTGGCTCCTGCCATCGGATCAGCGCGGTGCGCCGGCCGCAGCACGCCAGCTGCGGCGGCCATTGGAGGGTGAACCAACGGCAAAGGAAGACCTTTCTCTCTCTCTCTCTCACTGTCCACTCTGCCTGTCAAAAAAAAAAAAAAAAAAAGAAAGAAAGAAAGAAAACCCAATGATGTAGATACTATTATTTTCCCATTTTGATGATGCGTTAGTTACCTGAGGCATAGAGAGATTAAGAATTGTTTTCAAAATTACACAGCTCTCAAGTAGAGAGACCAGAACTTGAACCCCCAACTCTAAACAATTTTACCATACTGTCTGTGGCAAAGACAAGTCAGACAGAGCCTTGTAGGCCAGGATAAAAATCGGGCACATGATTCCGAACCCCACAGAAAGTCTGTGAATAGAAAGACC